CTCTCTCTCTCTCTCTCAAACACACACATACATACACACACACACACACATGCACACACACATATGCACACACACATTTATATAAAGTCCCAGGGGTCAGGGCCCTTCTGAAGCCTGTCAGAATTGCTGCTCTTGGGGCTGAGAAGAGAAGACCTTTGGGAGAGCTTTCTTCTCCCCTGGGGATTCCCCAACAGCCACACATACCTGATGGCGGACATTGTACATCTTTTCACCAGCTATTACCAGAGGCATCTCGAGCAAAGAGAGGAGGGTGAGTCGAGGGGACAGGCTGATCATGAAGCAATACAGCCCCACCGTTTTGACCAGGCTTCGCAAGAGCACATTGGCATTAAAAGCAAGCCACTGGCTCAACATTTTGGTATCCGAGCTCAACCTTGAATTCAGTTCCCCTGGGGAGGACAGAGCCGGGGAGGAAATGGTGTGTAATGGAAGAGCCCCAGAGACACCCCCCGCCCCGACCCTCCCCATTGACACAGCCCCCTCATCCAAACACCCCCCTCAGTTGCAGAGAGACGGGTGGAAGCCACCCCACTACCCTGTCCCAAAGAGCACAGCAGCTCCTTGTGCGGGCACGGCAGGTGGAGGCGGGAAGAGAAACTGTTTGGGGGTGGGGCGGGGAGGGGTAGTGGTCACTGAGGGGCAAGAAATGTCCAGGGGAATCCCACACCTGGACTCCAGGCCCCACCTGTCTTAGTCTCCTGGAAGAAACTGAGGTCCTGGCGCAGAAGGGAGGAGAAAAGCTGCTCCCTGACCCGCACGTTGATACTGGACGCGGTGAAGGTGAAGATGCCTCCTCGGGAGCCTGCGCACAGGGAGCTGTGGGGTAGGGAGGAGAAAGGGGATGAACAGGAAAACAGATGCAGGGAAGGAGGAAATGAGTGAGGGAAGCAGAGGAGAAATCACGGAATGAAAAGAAATGCAAGGTTGGAGAAAGTGTACCACAAGAGGCAGAAGAGAAACAGAGAGGGAGACAAGGGGAGGGGCAGGAATAAACAGAGAAAGAAAAAACAGGTCATGGTGAGCTAGATATGGGAGCAAAATCACAACACATACAAATCCATGAGCATTTCTGGGGTTCACTCCATGCAAGGCACAAGGGAAAACTGTAACAGCAATGAAGAGATGTCGTCAAGAGAAATAGCCTATGACTTGCTTCTGACCTGGCCTCCTTCGGTGCTGTCCCTCCAGCCTTCCCCTCTGTCTTGGTCTCTTTCCTCCCCACTCTGAAGTCTTTCTTCCTCGTCCCACATACTTTATTGTGGGAACCACAGCAATGAATTCCCTTGCCCGCCCATTCTCTGGAGCCCCAGAGTCATGCTGTTCCCTCATCTCTGCTGTCCCTGCTGTTGAGAATTCCTCTTAGACCAACCACTTTTCCAACAAAACTTAAAGGAAAAATGTGAAAGCACAGAAGCAAGTACTTCACAAAATATGGCTTCTAACACAAACCTAGTTACTCTGTTTAGAAGGCTGCTGGGGTCGTCAGATGTAAAATGAAGAGGGTTTGAACTCTGGAGATCACAGTGAGAATGGACAGAAAAGAGCCACAGGAAAAACACTTTGAAAGCAGAGAGTGAGGGGGCTAGTGTCTGAACATCAGAAAGGCATCAATGATACTGCTGCTTGGAGCCTAGGAAACTGATGATTTCATAAATGGGAATAAGAAGAGGAAGCCACTTTCAAGAAGACCAGGAGGGAGTATGATACATTTGGAGCTCTGGGTATGTGGAGTGTGAGATGAGAGTGGGTTACCCAATGGGAATGACAAGGAGGCAACCGGATTATAAGATTGGGGCTGGGTGTAGAAATATGGATCCCGGAGTCACCTGCACAGATGAGCTGAGCTCGCCCAAGAGGAAAACGCTTTCTTAGAATCAAAGAACTGGGTCATGAGGAAAGACTATATTTGAGGGTCCACAGAAGGAGAAAAATTCTCCAGAGGATATAGAGTGGATTGGGAAGTATAAAGGGAGTCTATAAAAGCTAACTGAAGAAAGAGATCAATAATAAGAGATTATTCAAATGCCAAATGCTACAAAGAAGAAAAGAGAATAGAGGACTGATTTAAAAAAAAAAAAAAAAGCAGTGGCTTGACCAATAAATACTTTTGAGTAACTGGTTTCAGCAAAGGGTAACAAGGATGGAATGGAAGTACAATGTTGGGTAAATATGGTGAATGAAAGAATGAGTGAATGGGTGTGTAAAATAGAATGGTGAATAAATAAACACAGGCATGTTTAGTTTAACTATTTTATGCTTTGCGAACAAAAGCATATGAAAACAAAGTTAGGAAATGGAGGGTACCTGTAAAGATGTGGGACTACCAAATGGACCCAAACATCACCTACCTCACAACGGATATGACGCACATGGAAAAGATGGCCCTGGCAAAGGCATCAGGCTTGAAATCCCCTCCAAGGATGTCAATGACACGACCAGTATAGTAAGGGATCCATGTCTCCCCTGAAATAGGTATGAAGGAGAACAGATGAATGTGCCGGCACCAAGGACCTTTGCCAACCCCCAATTCACGATGCCCTCTCCTGACTCACCCCATACGGCACCACCAAGGAAGATGAAGGCCAAAAGGAGGAGAGGCAGGTCTGGCCTGGAGAGCTTCAGCAGCTTCCACATCAAGTCTGTGTTGTTCTCCTGGCCCTGCTTCTCCTGGGCTCCTGGAGAGCTCAGCAGGGCCCACATTGCCCAGCTTAGCCCCGCAGCCCCGTACTCCAACAGCAGCCAGCTCCAAGGGGCCGAAGCCACTCTGACTGGGGGAGCACTCAAGGCCCCTGGAACCAGGGCTCTCAGGGAGAGAAACAGCGGGATCACCAGGCAGAGAGGGGGCAGCAGTGTTCTCACCAATCCTAGCAGTCCTCCCACCTGTAGCAGCCACCAGAGCCCTCCGAGTCGCAGGGTCCCCTCCAGCCACAGGCCTGGAAGCCCTCGGGGAAACAGAGCCCCCAGAGTCCCCTGAAGCAGCCAGAGTAGAGCCAAGTCGGCCAACAGCAGGAAGGCCCAGGCTCTCAGGCCACAGAAGCGCATGGTGTTATCTATGGGTGGAAGATGAGGAATTACAGAGGTGGGGTCCCAATCCTCGCCCTTAGCCTCACCGTCCCGACTCTGCCCAACCCGCCCATCGGCTTCTCATTTTACCCACCCCTACCCTGAAAGATCCCCTGGGTCCCCGGTGCCCATAAGTACGTCCCTCCTACCATACAAGGCATTCTGCCGAGCAGAGGGAGCCTCATCCCTCTGCTCATTTTTTTT